TCTTATTTTCAAATGTATAATAACCCACTGTGAAAATGTACCACATTTTCATATTTCTCCCATCAGCTGATGGACATCTAGAGTGTTTCTAATTCCTAGTGATTATGAATAGAGTTGCAATGAACTTGAAAGAGCAAGTATCTCCTTTTTTCCTTTCTTTTTTTTTATTCAAAAGGTTTTTTTTCATTTTACATACCAACCACAGTTCCCCCTCCCTCCCCTCCTCTGGATTACTCCCCACCTTCCCCCTCCATCCACCCCTCAGAGAAGGTAAGGCCTCCCATGGGGAGTCAAAAAAGTTGGGCATATCAAGTTGAGGGAGGACCAATAACAGATGAGAGCAAGTATCTCTTTAGAAAGATGTAGATTCTTTTGGCTAATTCCTCATGAGTGGTATAGCTAGTGTGGCAGGTTTATGGTGAGCATTTGGAGGAACCTCCATTCTGATTTCCACATTGTTTATACCTGTTTGCATTCACATCAGCAATGAATAAGTCTTCTCCCTCATGTCACTCTCTCAGCTGGTGTCCTGGTCCTTTGGTTCTTAAAATCCCTCCTGCTACATTTCTGTGGTGTTCCAGGAGCCTTAGGTGTAGGAATTGCATTGTAGATGTCTTAACTGGAACTAGAGATGTCGCAGCACTTATTCTCTGCATTGTGAACAGTTGTTAAACTCTCCAGTGGCCTCTATGTGCTTCAAAATGAACCTTCTGTGATGAGGTGTGGTAGCTACACTTATCTCTGTGTGTAGTTATAAATATTTAGAGTACTGTTAGAAGCTGTATTGATTTAGGATAGTGGCTGTAGTAGATTCTCCTCTCAGGTCGATAACTTTTCAAGACATGGGTAGTTAACCAGGTTTATAGTGTTGGGCCTAAATTCCTTCCTTTGAGCATGTCTTAAATCCAATAAAACATATATTTTTAGTTTCCACCAAGATAAAAGTTCTACTATTGCACCCTTGTGGGTGTTCTTTCCATGATGGTCATTGTTTTTGGTTCATAGCATTTATACAGCTTGTTAGGAATATGTAATGCTTTTCTCCCTTGGAATCTTGCATATACTTGAAAACTCATCCTCAGGAAGGAGTCTTCAGGTCAATTCTAGCTAAATTCCTCCAAGTCCTAAGTCTCAGTTATGTGATATCATTAGCAAAGGGTTGTTACGTACAATCAGGGCAATCAAAGCCAATGGCAATAGCCCATCTCTTTTGGAAGAGACACTTGAAGCCCCAATGAACAACTTGAAGGGAGGATTCCTGTCGGGGCCTGCAGACAGTCAGCTGGGTAGCTGGGTAGAGGTGTGCGGATTGAAGAGACAATGAAGAAGACAGAAAAGAGTTGAGAGATCTGCTGGTCAATGCTGGACAGCCCCAAGTTTATTTCACAGCCAACTTATATATAGTTTTGAAGGATGGAGGTAGAACAATGCACAGCTGGCCTGGAGAGATGGCTCAGAGGTTAAGAACACTGGCTGTTCTTCCAGAGGTCCTGAGTTCAATTCCCAGTACCCATATGGTGGCTCAGAACCATCTGTAATGAGATCTGGCTCCCTCTTCTGGCCTGCAGGGATACATGCAAACAGAACACTGTATACCTAATAAATAAACAAATCTTAAAAAACAAACAAACAAACAAACAAAAAAGAAAAACAATGCACAGCCAGGCATTCAACCGCTATCTATTCTGTCTTGTGTCAAGGAGCAGACAGTTTCATTTTCTATCTAGATGTACCTCTGGCTGGCATCAGCAGCCTGCATCTAGCTAAATAGTGTGTTCCCTCTCATGGGCTAATCAGGACTTTCTCACAGCCCTTCAAGGAGACTCTGTGGGCTAATCATAACTTTCTCACAGCCTTGGAGCAAACAAGCTTGAACTCTATTGACTCATAATAGACTTCAGATTCAAACTGGGAAACTGAGTCAGTTGTGGGCTCCCACAGATTCACATGCCTGACACTGAGGTTTTTATTAGATTTAGCATTCATTTTAGGTTGACAAACTCTCTTATGAGAGAGTCTATTCTATTCTGTGCCATTTAAGTAGTTTTTGGAGTTTAGAAATGCAATTTGACATTCTATTTTGCTCCGTAGCCAATAAGATAGCATGTACTTCTTTTCTGTTCTTTTTGTACACAAATATGAGTCTTTCTTGAGGGACATGATAGTCATTGATTTTAGGTCTTCCTTCCATTACAGAGAGATAAATATGAGTACTAGAGTATTTTACTTTAAATATATATTTTCTTTCCAGAATTGAAATGGAACAGAACTTTTGTTTCTTTCCCATAATTCAGAAGAGTTATCTGAGAATCTAGCTCTAATCCTAAGTGATTGACTACACCACATCCTCAGGATTTAGGCAAATGAGAGTGGGCAGCCTGACTCCTACACAGTGTGTAGGAAAGAGATGGAGCTGCCTCTCAGGCATCATCTTGAGATTTCCAACAGCTGTGTTTCCTGAGCAGCTTCACTAATTGAATGATGTTGGGGAATGTGAAGGTTTCAATGAGAATGGCCCCATAGGCTCAAAAATCTGAATGTTTGGTTCCAAGATGGTGGACTGTTTAGGAAGGATCAGTAGGTACGGCCTTATCAGAGGAGGTGTGTCACTGGGGTGGGCTTTGGAATCTCAAAGCCGAAGCCAGGCCCAGTCTCTCCCTCTCTCTGCCTCTTGTTGTTGTTCAGATGGAAGCTCTAAGCAACTTCTCCAGGGACATGGCTACTGTCTGCTACTATGCTTGCCACCACAATCATCATGGCTCACCCTCTGAAACTGTAATCAAGCCCTCAATTAACTGCTTCCTTCTATAAGTTGTCTTTGTCATGGTGTCTCTTCACAGCAATAAAACAGTAACTGAGACCAGAGTCAGGCTGAACTCTCTGTAACATCGGCCAAGGAGAGGAAGAATCTAAATAGCTTGCAGCAGGACACTGAAGCAGATTTTTAAATACTAAACCCTATATTCTTCATTTGGTCATAAATTTGTGGGGTAAGAACAAAAGATTGCTGGATAATTAAATAATTAAATTTTGTAAGACTTCTTGGTAGAGATAAATTCCATGTCCAGCTTTTCCTGGAGATGTTTTTCTCTGAGAGGTCCTCACTTAGGGAGAGAACAGCATTTCTGTGGATCAAAGTTTGGGTTGTCTCTAGCAATGACTTCCATCCTATCCTGTCGGAATATCCTCAGATTCCTAAGTTTCTAGGAATTTGACCTAAGATTTGTTGCAGTTTTTCAGGAGTCTGGGTAAACCCCACTTAGAGAAGGAACACAGCCCTCCCTCACAGGCCACTCCCCTCAGCCCCCTGCACCCTGGGTTTGTGTGAAGCTTCCCCTGCAGTCTCCCTCACTGTGTCACTCAGAGCACAGTAGTACAGGGCAGAGTCTGCCAACTGCACTGAGGACTTCTGCAGGTGGAAGGAGCTGCTGCTCTTATGGAGAGTGGCCTGGAACCCTTGGTGCTCTGTCCTCTGGTTGTCTGTGAAGCTACTCAGGAGTAGCTGAGGGGCTTTGTTGAGATATTGAATGTACCACCAAAGGAAAGTATTTGAGTAAGTAGCCTGATAGGTGCAGTTCATGATCACAGGCAAGCCCTCTGTGACAGTGACCAGGCCTTCTGTCTGGGTCACTGAGTCTCCATTGCTCATCCCTGAAAAATAAATGAATAAATAAGTAAACAAATGAATGAATGAATGAATGAATAAATAAATAAATAAATAAATAAATAAATAAATAAATAAATAAATAAATAGTCACTTTTCTGTGTGAGGAAGAAGGCAAAGACTTCCTCATTTGTAAGAAAATGACAACATCAACACTTAGGGTAAATGTAACTTACTGAGCATGAAGAGGAGCAGCAGAACTGAGCAGGTGTCAGGAAGCATGTTCTTAGGAGAAAATGACACTTGGTTCTTGAGTGCACCAAACTCACAGGGCAAGTCTCCTGCAGGACCTTATTGAAACTCCTCACTCATAAACAAGGACCTCCTTCTGCACAGTGACAGTCTGCCACGTGAAGCCACCACCTGGATACAGACATTAACCACGTCTGAAGAGGCATCGCCCTCTGCTGATTTCCCTTCAAACTGCAACACAGATGTCTGCACAACACACTGTGAATAAACCTGAAACCTCACCCAAAGGAGGCAAGTCTCAAGTCCCCAGTGGATGTCTGAAATTACCAGTGTTACTGAACTATGTGTATGCTATGGTATTTTGTGTGCTGAATATGTATAAAATAATACACATACATATATATACACACACACACCTACCCACTGATAAAATTTATCTATATTTTCTCAATTTACTAGTTCTTGGGGAATGTTATGCAATGAATTTTGTTTGCATTCACCTGCTCCCTATACTCCTGCTAGATCCATCCACTCTTCCCTACCAGCCCAGTCCCCCTCCTTTTAAAACAAACACCTCAATGCTTGAGTTACAGTTTGTCCTGCCCGTATACTATTGGATTTGTGGCCTTCAGTGGGGGGTGGTGTATGTACCAGGGCCTGCATCTTTAAAGAATCTTGTTTCTCTCTCCCATCAGCTATGAACTGCTCCTACCTCTGTAGCTAAGGACGGGAATGCCAACCTTCCCTCTGCTTCCTAGGATTGTGTCTGATCTGATCCTTTGCAAGCCTTAGGTGTGCTGTCAACTTCTGTGAGTCCATGTGTGCAGCTGCCCTGCTGAGTCCAGAAAACACTGTCTTCTTGTAGTCATTCCCCAGCTATGGCTCTTACAGTCTTTCCACCTCCTCTTCCTCAGTGACCTCTGACCTGGGGATGAGGGTGTGTGATGTAGATGTCCCACCTGGGACTGAGCATGCCATAGCCTCTTCTTCTCTGAAGCACAGTGAGTTCTGGTTCTCTATGGCATTCACAATGTGCTGCAGCCAGGGAAAGGGGATGATTAAACTGTAGTTCAATTTTTAAAAATGGAAAAACTGTCCTAAATTGTTTTGAGTGACTTGAAACTTTGTGTTTTTAATGTCTACACTACAGTTGGCACTTGCCAACTAACAAATAGCAAATGTACTGGAAGACCTGTGACACAGGATGTGGACAGGGCTCCAGGCCCCGTGGCAGGTTTGAGGACAGGCTGCAGGTGCCTGTGGAGCAGTGTGCACTTGCAGCACAGAAGTACAGGGCAGAGTCTCCAGGCCGGGTGTCTGTGATGTGCAGGGAGAAGTGTTTGGTTTTCTTATCCTGTAAAACGATCAGTCTTTGCTCCTGCTTTCTTTCCACAGTTGAACGAATGTCAATAATGAGCTGAGGATGCCCTCCAGGTCCTTGCTTATACCAAGGGAAGTAGAACGAGGCACTGTCTGTGTAAGTGCAATTGATGACTGCGCTGGCTTCCTCCTGGACTCTCAGGGTGGAAGGATGCTGCTCCACCTGTTCACCTTGGCTCACCCCTATGCAGAAAGATGGAGTGAAAAGATAAAAGTTCTCAGGTCATCACTATCCAGGATTCTCTTTTTCTACACTAACTAGAGAAAATCGAATAAAATATAGTTCCTCCTCGATGTCTCAGAAATGCCCAAGGAATATTCTGTGGCTCTAAAATCTTAACTCACCATCCAGATGCAGCCACAAGAACATGAATAAAGTAGGAACAAATGTCTTCATTGTTCTTCCAATTAAATTAAGATCCAGGGTACAATTGGGATGACTAACAGGTACCAGGGTATTGCTCTTTCTCAGGAACAATTCTACTCCTGAGTCATCCACTCAGCCACTGAGAGAAAGGCTGGGCTTCTGCCCTAAGCCTGCACAATCAGCACAAGGAAGTGACTCCTCTGCATAGTTCCCAGCAGCTGAGGTCTACTACCACCTTGTGGTTGTACCCTTAACCAGTGAGTCCTCTGCATAAGTATTCTCTGACCTGTAAGGAACTCAGACACATAAAACAGCAATATGTTATATCAAGTGTATTCTAGTGCTGAGAGGTCAAGAATGGTATTTGTACACACTAGTGAGACTATTTTTTATATTTAAATCTAATGTAACACATGTAAAATGCTTCATATATACATGTATATATGTGGTGTTTTCATAAATAAATGGAATATATATGATGTGCTCATATATAAGCATGTGTGTTTGTTTCTGTGTGTGTGTGTAAAACACATTCTGTCTAGAACTATATTTACTAATCCACTTACATATCACAGAATGTTTGGATCATTCATCATGAACTCCCCCTTTTCTTAGAGACAGATACTTAGGCCAATATTTGTCTGTGAAAGTTACAGTGTGTGAGAATAGTCTTTTTCAGGTCTCTCATGGGCTTTTAGTTGAAAGAGGACGATGTTTTTTTCTATTTCAATGAGTTCCTGTTGAGAATACAGATATGATGTTTTCATGCATGCATCTTACCTTCTATAGAAGTAGGCCTGGAATCACAACTACACACAACTACTCTTAGGAACGTTCTCAGAAATCACTTCATTTGAGGATGGCACCATCCATTTCACTCACTCACTCCCACAGCATCTACACTGAATCACTGATAGAGAGCAGTGGTAGATTCCCTGGAGAATCTGCCAAACCTTGCAACAAACCCATCTTTCCTCTTCCCTGTGGACCCTCCCAGCACCCCCTGCTCTAGCCCATTGTCTTTCCTTCCTGTCCATTGTGAATAACCACAAACACTGTGTAACTGGGAACCAGTCTACTCACAGGCTTGGGAAGCTGAAGGCCATCTTCACTGTCCTTCCTGTCCTCCGTTTCAGTTCCCTGGTACCATCCCCAGTCCTGTAACTGACCACTCACCTGTCCTCTCACTCTTCCTCCATTCACTGAGGACTCAGCAGACCCTTGCTGCATTTCCTTTCCTAACCCACCACCATTGCTTTGTGTCACATGACAGTAGAGACACTCTACCTGGGAGCCTGATGGCCACACCTGCCTGGGCAGCAGGCAGTCCATCTTCACTTTCCTTGCTGTCGTACATTGCAGTTTTCCCAGTGTCTTTCCAACCCTGTTGCAGACTATAGTAGGGTCCTGTCCTTCCTCTCTGCTTCCATTCCCCAGGGACTCCACCTAACCCTTTGGAGGACTCAGCTTCCATTCTTTCTGTGGATCCTCTCAGCATCCCCTCTAGTCCATCTCCTTTCCTTCATGTCACCCTCCAATACATAAAACAGTTTCTACCTTAGTGACCACACTGGCAGGGACTCACGGCCAGTTATATAGGTTGTTCGCTCTATCCTTCCTGTCCTTCATTACAGTCTCTCCATTCTCATCACCAGCCTGGTAACAACCTGCTCACAGTTCCCTTACTGAACTTCATTCACTGGACACTGCAACTCTTGGTTCAGATCCAGGGTCCCACCCCTTCCATCCCCATCTCTCCACATAATTCTTTGCCTTACTGTAACCTACTTCATCCAAACTCCCTGTGGATCTCACCTCTAGGTATGAACAGGATCTCTTTAGCTTGTTACGGAAGTCTCTCTCAGCCTTTTATCCTAGGCCACATCTATTCCTTTCTGTCACATGTTGGCCCACAGAAACACCCCCCTTCTAGGAAGCCAATAACAACAATAATTCACTAAGACCAAGAAATTTCAATAGAAACTGAGAAAGGAAACACCCACTAAACAAAGGCAATACCAGTATCAAAACATAGAAACAACAGCATGCCAACTCCAAACACCTGCACAAAAACACAATCATTAATAACCAAGACAGTATATCTCCACCAGAATCCAGTAACCCTACTGCAATTGACCCTGGAAATGCAATAGAGTTGAACCACAAGACAAGTCATCAAAAATACATATAATGAATTTGCCCAAGGACCATAAAGAGGATATGAATAAATCCCTTAGTGAAATCTTTGAATCCACAAACAGTGGAGTAAAATGAAGAAAAAAGTTCAAGATATGCAAGTAGAAATAGAATCACTAAAGAAAACACTAAGTGAGGTAAAAGTGGAAATGAAAAATTTAGAACATCAAACCAAAGCCTCAGAGGTAAGCTTCAAAAACAGAGCAGAAGACATAGAAGAGGGAATCTCAGGCACTGAAGACAAGGTAAAAGAAATGGACACCTCAGTCAAACAAAATCTTAAATTCACAAAAATCCTAGGATGAAATGTCCAGGAAATCAGGGATACCATGAAAAGACTGAATCTACAAATAGCATAGATAGAGGAAAGAGAAAAAACGCAAGTCATAGGTACATAGATATTTTCAACAAAATCATAGAAGAAAATTTCTCTAACATAAATAAGAGGGTACCTATCAAGATACAAAAAGCATTCAAAACTCCAAATAGACTGGACCAGAAAAGAAATTTCTTGTTGACTCATTATAATCAAAACATTTACCTTACAGAACAAAGAAAGAATATTAAAAACTGAAAGGAAAAAGACTAAGTAATAACTGACACTTCACTGGAGACTATAAAGGCCAGAAGAGCCTAGACAGATGTTACACAAACTTTGAGAGACAGATGCCAGTCCATACTACTAAAACCAGGAAAACCATCAATCAAAATTGCTGAAAAAACAAAAACATTCCAAGGTAAATCCAAATTTAAGGAGTACCTACTTACCAATCCAGCGCTATAGAAGATGACAGAAAGAAATATTAAGAGATTAACCACACCCAAGAAAAGCACAAAGAATAAATAATCCCAGAGCAGCAAATCAAAAGAGGATGGAAATACACACCACAGCAATAAATAACAGGTACCAATGAACACTGCTCATTGATTACTCTGAATATTAATGGTTTCAATTCCCTGATAAAAAGAAAGAGACCAACAGATTAGATTAAAAATAGTATCCATGCATATCAAAAACAGCAGAAAATATACAAATTTGTGAAAACTGAACAACTCATTACTAGCTCCAACTCCAAGTTATACCAAAAAGTAGAAGCAGAAGACCACTATCTAATTCTTTTTATGTAAACCTAGTTACCCTGACATTTAAACACACAAAGACGCGACAAAGACAGAAAATTACAGATCAATATCTGTTATGAACATTGATGAAAAATTCTCAAAAATACTTGTACACTGAATACAAGATATATTAAAAAAGAATCATCTGCTGTAATGAAGTAGGCTTCATCCCAGAGATCCAAGGATTGTTCACCATATATAAATCGATAATGTAATCCAGAAATACAGGAAAAGTGGCCTAGATTATTATAAAACACAACAGAGTTTATACTGAGTTAAAATTAGCTTAGCAACTGAAAAGTGTTGTAACTTATATGGAAAATATCAAGGCAAGGCATGGTGTCACCTAGCAATCACTGTGCTTTGGCTTGTTCAGGAAGAGTTGGTGGGAGTCCAAGTATGTGAGGGTGGCTCTAGGAAAAGAGAAGTTGGACTGGGGCTGAACCAGGAGTGATGGTTGCTATAGATGAGTGACTGGCCCTGGATGCAAGGTTTGGTTTAGGAGCGAAAGACAGTGAAAGAATTCAAGATATCACCTAATATAAACTGGGACGAATTATTCAAATCCAATCCATATGGCCTGCACTGGAGAAGAGTTGGCAGATAATTCTTCGATTGCCTCAGTGAAGGTGGAAGCAGATAAAGTAAAAGATGAAGATGAAAACATGGTGCCTCTCTTCAGAATTACTCAGTCACTGATGAAGGTGACAGTATAAGAAGCAGAGCTGGCTTTGAAGAAGTTGAACAGGCTGGAGAAGGACGAGCAAACATGAAAATCAACTAAACAGAAAAGAAATGAGACTGGAAAATGAGCTGGAGGTGGCTCAAGAGGTGGATGTGATACTTGGTTTTTACATGATGAAATTCTCCAACATGAAAACCAGTTGGAATAAAAAGACAGGAAGTTAAAGAATGTGGGGAAAAGAGTCACATAAAGAGAAGAAAATCAATGATCAACTGGCTGTTTCAAGGAAGAGGCAGAAACAGCAAATTAGGAAGTTATTGAACAGCTTAAGATTCACAAAAGGAATCACTTCGTCAGGAAGAGGAGGAGACGGTGACAACTGATCTCAATTATCTAAAAAGATCTGTGAACTTGTTCAACATCCTGACGAAATTCAGACCTTAATGGGAGCTAGTGAGAAACTTGAAGTTTAGAACCGAGAAATGAGAAAGAAATCTAAAAGAGTCAGAACAGGAAATGGAGACGATGACTGTAGCAGGACAGAAGCTATTGTACAAGGGGAAGGTACTATTGTGGACCAGATTTAAAAAGAGAACGGGCATTGTCAACCTCAGGTGTGAGAGCCCACAGGCCTTCTGAAAACGTGGGATGGAGAGGATGATCCAGTCATGATGACTGTCGAGGCAAATGTAGAAGAATGGAGGGTGTTTTTCTCAATTGATACAACTCTTTCGTGTCTTATATTTTGATTTAACTTGAATTTTGATTTTGATTTTAAGGATTTATAGAAGAAAATAATATTTATACTGTTTTTTAAAGTTTATTGTACATCTTATCTAGAAAGCTTTTAAAACTGCTGTCTGTAGTCCTTAAGCTCCTTTGTTCATTAGATAAAAGCTTTCAAGTCCAGATTAATCAGGAATGAGATTAGGAAAAACATCTACCAACATCTATTAGACAACCTTTTACAAGTACCTCTTTCTGTGCCTAATTAATATGTTCCAATCTCACTTAATTCCACACCACA